TAGCTATCAGGATCGTATCATCCGCATATCTTATATTGTTGATAGGCACTCCGTTAATTTTTAGTCCTTTCGTTTCATCGTCCAATGCTCGTTTCATTATTTCCTCTGAGTAAAGGTTAAATAACATCGGTGATAGCACGCACGCCTGCCTAACGCCTCGACGGATTTCTATTTCTTCGGTGTTATTCCCTTCTATTTTCACCACTGCTTTTTGATTAAAATAAAGATTCGTAATAATTTTTATATCTCTGGTGTCTAAGTCCTACGTTTGATAAACTGAAAAAGAAGCTTGAAGAAGATGAAACCAATATAAATATAAACCATGCCATTCTCCATAGATTTATTTGTAAAATGGGATTTAAGTATCGCAAAACAGACAAAAGACAAGTAGTAATGGAATCACACAGATTACGCACTTGGAGTTTTAATTACCTTCAAAAAATTAAAAGATATAGATTAGACAACAGATCCATAATTTACCTTGATGAAACATGGTGTCGTCTGTATCGACGCTGTATCCAAAGCATGGCTTGATGCCACTCAAAACTGTCAGACGAAAGCACCCTCAAATAAAGGAAAACGCATCACCATGATACACACTAGGTCAGAAGACGGATTTGTCCCAAACTGCTTGCGGTTGTTTGCAAATAATATTAAGGATTCCAGCTTGGATTATCATTATTATTAAGTGCCGAACTTTTTTAAAATTTGTTTCAAAACAATCTTTTAAAAAATATTCCCAATAACAGTCTTATTGCCATGGATAATGCAAGCTACCATAGCCTTCTGCTACGCAAAGCATCAGCCTCATCAAGTTCAGAAATTGAAATCCAAGAATTTTTGTTAAAAAATGATATTTATTTTGAAAAAACAGTGTGTATGCGATAATTTGGCTGAACAGGGTTGGCATACTGTTTTACGTCTTCCTCCATATCATTGCATGTTTAACCCCATAGAGCATTTTGGGAACTGAGTAAAATTAAAGATCAGAGCAGAAAATGTTACTTCTACTTTAAGTCCCAGTGTTATAAATTTGATAAAAATATAATTAATACCATACCAATTGAGAGTTGGAATAATTCAGTACAGCATATTATAAAAATTACATTTATATACAATTATATACAAATTAACCCAATTGCTGATAGTGAAACACATTTAGAATAAAAAGGTAATTATTTATAGACATTCCTAGCAATGAATTTATTATACATATTTAATGTCATTGTTTTTTCTGAGTGTATTTTAAAAACCACCTAAATAAATAAAAAAAAATTACCAAAAGCTTTGAGAGCCCGTCCCTAATGTCGTGCGCCACTGCTATGAATATTAAGATAGACTATACAAATATTATGTATCATACCCACTTCATACGAAATAATCCCTTATAAAATTGTAATTATTTTCCAGGTAAATTTCACAACACAAAATAGTTTAGTAACAATTATTTTGCTGATATTTAATTTAAATGCTCCAAGGTCACATTTCATTAGGTCTAAACGTTCTATAAAGTATCATCGCATTTCTTTGTTAATAAAAAAATATGTAAGATACTTGTAGTGTTTCCATTCGTCATTTTTCGCTTTCACAGATTTTTCCTAATATTTGCGAAGAGGTTAAAAAATGGAGGAATCTGCTAAACACGTATGCTAAATATATTAGAAGCAACAAAACTAAAACGGGAAAATGGATATCGGCAGATTTAAACTATTATTAATTTTAATCGCCATCGATATTGCTGCGAAATATCATTACATTAAGTACAAGCAAAAAATATATATAACGCTAGGAGAATAATTGAAGTCAAAATGAAAATTGCACAGGCCATCACTTCACCACTAGGAAGAGCACTTCAAGCAGCTATCCACAGAGGCAGAGAGCTTCCAGTTTAATCAGATAAATTCTAAATCCATCCGTACTACAGTGAACCAACTCATCATTGCATCACTATCTCGAATCAAAGGTTCGAATATTGTTTTGTATAAGCTGTAAAAGTTTATCCAAACAATGTACTGGCATTCCAAAGTAAATATAGAATGGTTTCTCATTTTTTCGTAATTCTGTTATTAAATTTCTATTTTTTGCTAAGGTATGTTAAACCATATTATATTTACATTTATATAATTAACCAATAAGTAACAAAGGAGCTTGAACCTTTTCTATGCTGAATATATCAGGTAAGTTAGGAATAATTCAAGTTGGTTTGGGGATGCTTTAATTTTGCCGCGATACTCCGGAACTGCATTTAAGTGCCCGTAAAGATCCGACTCGTTCTAATATATTTTCAAAGTAAAAGTTTAAAAGCTACTTAGTGCTTCTGCGTCCACTACGCTTCCGTTTACTTAAGTGCATAAAATTTGCGGTCTCACGGGCCGATTCTAAATATTAAGTAAGTGGATAAGGAACTTTCTCTGGTTCCGCATTGATGCGTCCTTTTCACAATTTTCAAACTTTAATCAATAGAAGAATTGAAATCATGACGAGAGCCATAGAAATTGCAACTCCCAGTCGAGCAATGTTAAAAACGTTTTGTTGAATGTTGAAGCGTTTACAAAAACCTACAAATAATTTCGCAGAAAAATTAATTGTTTTTAATAATTTGCTTAGAGCTATTGTTTAAATGTATTTGGATTGTTGTGAATTTGAACTAGGTGAACATATGGGACACAGCGTAGCAGTAGATAACAATAATTATAAAAGGTCATATAAAATTTCTCAACTCGGGGATTGAAATATTTCGCAAAAAAATGTTTTTTGCTATTCACAAAATATCCTTTCTAGATTTTACTGTCAAACTTGGTATGTATAATAATAATAATAATGGCAAAAATAGAAGTTCATTTATTCTATAAATTTGTTTTTAATACATCCGATTGCTCCCAAATCCGTGCGGTAAAATCCCCGAAATGTCTGAAGTGGCTCGGATTCATGGGAAACGAAACTGACGTGGTAAAGTGACGCTTTCCGCACGCTAGATCGGTGGGTAATTACGTATTTTACAGACGGGAGTAGAAAAAAGTTTTTTTTACTCCCTTCTGTAAAATACCCGAGTTACTTCGGCTATTTCCGGGATGTTACCGCACGGGTTTGGGAGCAATCGGATGTTTTCGGAGATTTTGCCACACGGCTTGAATTTTAACGTTTGTCAATCCTGACGGTCATGTCAGTGAATGTATTCGTGTTGTTTTGCAACAATTTGCCGAAAAACTAACGGTCGTAGAAAAAGTATACTATGCTATACTATACGCTTGGTAAACTCGTGACCCAAATTCCGTTTACCACACTTATAGCAGTATTATACTCTTTTTAAACTTTTTATAATAATAAAAATATTATCTTATATCTCCAAAATGAAGGACAAATTTATAGGAACTTTACTCGCTAGTTACACTGTTTCTCTGTTATAATTTGAACCATCGTGTATAAACAGGATGTTTGTATTTTTGTGGACATATATCTACTTACTTATTTTTTAATTTTTAATTTCTATTATTCTTCTTAACTAAATTTAAGCAACAACTTATGCAATGACATAACAACCATTTCTATAAAAAAATTTTTTGGAAACTTTTCTTTCCTGCAATTTTTTCATAATACTTACCGTTTTCAAATAAAACAATTAAATCTAAAGCAATGCATGCCGAGATAAGAAATTTATTAGTGGGCTGTTATCACTCCTGAAGTTGTTTCTTATCGTGCTTTATTTAACATTGACATTGATAGTTAGGTTTAATACAAAGTATGATTAATTTTATCAAAATTATGAAATCACTAATTAAATGACCACCCTGTATTTATTTCCTTTTAAATATTCAGATAGACCAATAAAGTAGATTCCCCTTTATAAGAAAATCAACTCCAGATATATAAGAAAGGCTTGCAGTAGGAATAACCGATAGATGTCACATGTCACTTTTGGCATAAAATTCAAAATATGTCAGAAACTGCAAGACTTAAAATGCCTTAATATGTAAGTTGTTCTATTTAAAATAAGAAAGTCCATTAATATACAAGTTAGTTTTTGGGTACATTTTTGCAAAACAGGAGGGTGGGACAAGGCGGCCCACTTTTTTTTTTGCTCTTAACCATCAAGTCGATTTATTTCGATTTAAATATATTTATCCAAATTTTTTCGAAACTTCTTGCCGTCGGCTAAATCCATAGAATAATCCAAAAAATAACACTTTCAATAAATTAATTATGATTCGGTTATAATGAAAGGAATAGCTTTTTTTAAAGAATTTTTAAGCGGTCCATTTTACTCCTGGTATTACACAAAGGGCTTAAAATTTACAAATAACCAGAATTTATTACTATGAGAGGAAAAAACGAAAAAAATATTTTGGTAAATTTTTGAGGTGGGCCTCCTCGCTCCAGAGGGGGCGCCTTGCTCCACGCTCCCCTACATTTACTGACATAACCATCAGAATTGATAAACGTCAAAATTGAAGCCGTGCGGTAAAATCTCGGGAAACATTCGATTGTGTTTAGGTGCAATAGATTTCTTTGAAAACGTCAAAATATTAATAATACATATTTAAATTTACTGCGAGTTCTACTTTGCAATATTTTATTTGATAAATTCGTATCAAATAGGCCATTTCAAAGGAAACAAACTTTTTCCCATATCCTACTCTCGTCTAGCCGATTGAAAAATCTCCGCGACCTGTCCCGGGTGCTTTTGACAGCGAAATAAATTGAAATTTATTTTTACACACATAATATCCTCGTCGGCCAGAAGGAAAAGTCCTAGGCGCAACAAAAGTCCTTGGAAATATTTCCCCAAGGGGGAATTTTCCTTGTCATTGTTCAAAAATGGAAACCATTAAGGCACCCCGCCATCCCGGTAACACACTGCAGCGACCTGGAATGGACCTTGGACGTCAAATGCATCTGATTGCGCTTGACTTGCGAGATAACATCGCGAAAAAACTATCGACGTCACGAGTCGACTTCGAAAACAGATAAAACTATAGTCGAAGTTTCATGTCAGTTACGCAATGTCTATCGAACTGCAAGACCATCAGAGGGCTTTGGTAGAAGCGGCGGCTAAGCAATGCGGCTGTACCGACGTCCGCTTAAAAGTGAGCCGGGGCTCCGCCAAAGGCGATAACTACTTGGGGGACATCTACAGGATCGAAGTAGCTAGCGGAAACGGTAGCGAAGCTTTGAAGATCATTATGAAGAGCGCTCAGACCGATCGCGAATTCAGACGGAAACTCTACGTTAGGGAGTTTTATCTACAAGAAGCTCGCATGTACGAAAAATGTCTGCCAAAACTCTACTCCCTGCAACTCCATAAAGCTAGAGTAAGTCCAAGGTATTACGGCAGCTGCCTCGAGCATCTAAAGGAAACTATACTGCTGGAGGACATGAGAGAAGAAGGTTTCGAGATGAGGAACGGCACGGTACCAATGAACGCTCACCACGTGGAGCTGGTACTGAAAGAATACGCAAAGTTTCACGCGGCATCAATGGCCTTGAGGGTTTTGGACACTCGAACTTTTGCGGACCTGACGAAGGATTTCTTCAACGTTTACGCACACGGCACAGACAAATCGCTTTGGTACGGTTCCGCCTTCGAGGTTCTGGTTCGCCTCGCCGGCGACAAGTTCAAAAAGTCTAAACAAACTTTCTTCGCTGAATCGGAAGAAATGTTTACCAGCCTCAACGACGAAAATCTGGCCATTTTGCACGGCGACTGCTGGTCGAACAACATGCTGTTCAAATATCGGGTAATGGCGGCCTCGCTTTCAAGGTTATCGCTGAAATTTTTTTCGGAACAAGCTACGCTAGATTAGATTACGGTTAATTTTATCTCGCAGATCTCGATAGCAGTTATATTATTCTCAGTTTTCCGTTAGTGCGGAAATGCAACAACCAATCATTACATTATATTCTTTCTTAAACATCTCCCTCGTTTTTTAAGCCCTTGAATAGATTTAAGAGTGGGCATGGATCCATAGTGAAAATAATATTCCCATTTTTGCATTTCGCTTTTGTTTTTCGACCTGTATGCATTTAAAATATTGGGTTGTTCGGAAAGTCATTTCGTTTTTTTTGGGGAACATGAAAGACAGTTTTCGTATAATGAATAAATGTTTTATTAAATTATATATTGGCTATTCTGGTCCAACACCTTTTGCCATCTTTGTGGCAGTAACATAATTCCCCTCTCATAAAAGTTTTGGTCCTTGCTGGCAAAAAACTGGTTCAGGTGGTTTTTGACATCTTCATTTGAGGTAAAGGTTTTGCCAACCAAAAAATTTTGCAGGGACCGGAACAAATAGTAGTCGGAAGGCGCCAGATCTGTGTGAGGTCTCGTATTATCCTGGTGGAACACTACACCCTTCCTGTTGATTAATTCGGGCCTCTTCTCTTTAAGTGAATCATTCAATTTGTCCAGTTGATGACAATAGACTTCTGAATTAATCGTTGTATTGTCCGGCAAAAGCTCAAAAAAAAAAACGATTCCTTTGACATCCCACCAAACGGAGAGCATCACCTTTTTTTGGTGAATGTTGGCTTTTGACACGCTTTGAGCCGGTTCATCTTTTCTGCTCCATGACCTCTTGCGTTTAACATTGTTGTATATAATCCATTTTTCGTCGCCAGTAATAATCCGCTTCAAAAATGGATCATTTTCTTGACGTTTGAGGAGCGAATCACACACGTCAACGCGACGACACAAATTTCGCTCCGTAAGGACATGGGGCACCCACACATCGAGCATCGAGGTTAAGCCCATGCCTTTCAAATGGCCATAAACAGTCGAATTCAACAAATTTAATCTCTCACCGATCCCTCGTGTGGTTATTCGCCGATTTGCATCAACTAATGCCTTTATCGCATCTTTGTCAGCTTCGACCGGCCTTCCAGACCGTGGTGCATCTTCGACATTAAAATTGCCGGATCGAAATTTTGCAAACCAGTTCTGGCACTGGCGTACTGTTAACACGCCTTCTCCATACACATCTGTCAATTTTTTTCTCGCTTGGACAGCATTTTTACTTTTTCTGAAGTAAAAAAGTAAAATATGACGAAAATGCTGCTTATTGCTCTCCATATTTAAAAGGGCACCAACCATAAACTACTGCGTAGAATTAATAGAACTTTTTCACACACAAGCCTTGCAATATCAGCTCTCAAGACATATAATGGTTATGCGGCTTAAGTGTGAAGTTGGTTTCGAAAAAACGTAATTAAGTCCTCTGACGGGAAAAAACGAAATGACTTTCCGAACAACCTTATACAATAAACATGCGTTACATTTACGAGACATTTACTGGTATTTTGAAAATCACATGTTCCTAAATTGCCTGGCTGCATAGTGAACAAAGAAGAAGAAAAATATCTCCCTCTGTAATTTTAAAACTCTCTGTATTATACCTCTCTCGTTCTTTTTAGACCTCTTTCTTTCTAATTTTCAACCTTTCTTTCCTTTTAAACTTCTCTGCTTTCTCTGCTTTAAAGCTCTTTCTCCCTCATTTTAACTTTTAAGATGTTTAAGGGATTTAAAAATAGAGAAATCTAGAACAGCGTGGTTTAAAACTAGAGAAAAAGAAAACTAGAAAAATACTAATCAAGGTCCTTATTTGAATTATAAACAATACAACATTTTGACAAAAAGGCGACATTCAGTCTACTAAAGATTAGTATGCCCGAGGAAAAAGAATCAAACAAATTATTTAAACATGAAACAATATTGTAAGAAAATGAGCGTTCAAATTTCAGTTGCCCTTGACTATGTACGTCACAGTGATAGCTTTTTATTATGGTATGGAGGAGATTTTCTAGTTAATATCTTTGCATACAGAACTGCAGAATCAAGAAATATTAATAACTTTAATTAACTAATTCTGTCGAACTTTCGAACCCCCAAAAATCAACCTCAAACACGAATTTTTAAGCTTTCGAATTTGGCCTTTATAGAAATAGTTGAAACGCCAAGTTTTGTCTCCTGCTTAAAAAATCACGATTTTTTTTATTATTAATCTTCACACAATAATTACCCTATAGAAATGGATAACTGCGGATTTGCTAGCATTTAAATGCAAACAATGCTTAGTGGACGTCTTGCAATCTCTGTTCAAGTCATAGTTTAGGGCTGCTTAACTTCATCGGGAACTAAGTGCGTTATACTGGGTGTTATTTTTCGATGTATACAACTTTAAGTTGACATTACTGTTCAAGATGGCGACCGATTTAACAGCTGTCAAGTGATTTATTCTCAGTTTGGTTTGGCAATTCATCATGAATATACTTACGCCTGAACAACGCTCGCAAATAGTGCAATTTTATTTCGAAAATAATGGTTCTGTGCGGAATACGTATCGCGCACGTAGTGCGCGATACGTATTCCGATACGAGATTGCCGTTGTTCCCGATTTTCAAAAGCGAATTTTGTTTAGCGATGAAGCGCACTTCTGGTTGAATATCTACTTCAACAAACAAAACTGCCGCATTTGGAGCGAAGCTAATCCTCAAGTGTATGTGGAAACACCGTTACATCCAGAAAAACTGACTGTTTGGTGCGCTTTATGGGCTGGTGGAATCATTGGTCCGTACTTCTTCAAAAACGGTGATGGCCAGAACGTTACAGTCAATGGTGGTCGGTATAGAGCTATGATTACTAACTCTTCCATTCCTGAATTGAATAACCATGATGTTCAGGAGATGTGGTTTTAACAAGACGGCGAAACATGTCATACAGCTCGTGCCACAATCGATTTATTGAAAGACACCTTTGGTGACCGCCTAATTTCGCATTTTGGACCTGCGAATTGGCCTCCAAGATCTTGTGATTTAACACCGCTAGACTACTTTCTGTGGGGCTAGGTAAAGTCATTGGTCTATGCGGATAAGCCATAAACGCTTTACCATTTGGAAGACAACATTCGCCGTGGTATTGCCGATATACGGCCACGAATCTTGGAAAAAGTCATCGAAAATTGGACGTCCAGATTGGATTACATCCGTGCCAGCCGTGGCGGTCATATGCCAGAAATCATATTTAAAATGTAATGCCACAAGATTATCTTTCGAATAAATAAAATTCATGTCAATCGAATAATCTATCGTTGTTTTATTGCAACTTAAAATTCTATACATCGAAAAAAAACACCCCTTATATATGACAAACCGACAAATAGAAATTTTGTTAAATGTCCTAAGATGGACTCCTGAAGTATACCTGTATTAATGTGTATGAATGAAAATGGTAGACCATTATAACTGCTTGAGATGGATGCTCTAGGTATGAAGCTAAAAGATTAATTGAGCTTTTTACAAAACTTCGGGATTCCTTCTGCGTCGGTTTTTGCTTAGTCGAAATTGCTGACGTTTCGCCAATCATCCTGTTAGCTTCTTCAGAGCTTGACTGAAACTGCTCTGAAGAAGCCAACAGGATGATTGGCGAAACGTCAGCAATTTCTACTAAGCAAAAACCGACGCAGGAGGAATCCAGAAGTTTTGTAAAAAGCATTACCGTAGCCTTTGGAAGTTTCTTTGAAAAAAAAAAAGATTAATGGAGTTTTCTGAAAAACCAATAAAATTTAACATTAAAATAAGGATTTGGTGATTAAGGGTATCAAAAGCTTTCTAACGGTCTAAATATATCATCGGTTATTTGTGGTAGAGCTGTGGTGCTTTATATAATGTTTTACAAGTAGGTAAAATATCCATTGTTGTTGGATTTACAATTTTCGTTATAGGTACAGCGAGTGCCTTTTTCCACTAAACATGCTTTATTATACTAGACACACTGTATAGCTATTTCATCTATAAATTCGTCCTTTTTCTTACATCCAAGAAGGCACAATAACTTTGACGAAACTTTGGCCGTTTAGAGAAGCTAATGCTTAGGTTAAAAGAAACTTTTCGGTCTTAATAACTTATCAGCCGACTGATCGGTTAATAGTCATCAGCCAGCCAGGCAAAAACGATAAAATCATTCGCCGGCATTGCTTCCGCATCGCTTTGATGGCTACCTCATTAAACATCCCATTGGGCAAGTCGCAACATCTTCAACCATGATAAAGGGCTATTAATTTTTCAAAGAAACTTCCACAGGCTACTGTAATAATTTTTAAAAATCTTCTGGATTCTTCCTGCGTCGGTATTTTGCCGAGTCGAACTTGCTGACGTTTCACGAATCATCCTGTTGGCTTCTTCAGAGCTTGACTGAAACTGGCTTGCATTTTACTCTGTACCTGTTTGAGGGGGCGAAGCTAAATGAGTTACATAAACACCGTCTCGGATGACTGATTCCCATATTGGTGATAGATATAGACCTGAGTCGCGGTTAAGATTGTTAGGTTGTTTATAAGTTTCTATAGACTCTCCGATTTTTCGGTGGTAGAATTGATTACATGCAAGAATTTTAGTTTTATCGAATAAAATTTTATGTCCGGTTTCGTGATTGTGATCGGCAACGCCTGATGGAATTTATTCGTCTTAGTCCTAAGGCTCTTTCATGTTCTTTGGGCCTAGTTGATATTTTTCGTCCGGTCTCTTCAATGTATTCTTTTCCGCATATGCATGGAATGCTGTAAACTGCTGGCATTTCAAATGGAATTTTATCTATGACGGATCGAAGATGTTGACAGATTTTTGAACAAGTGGTAAATCTCATTTTGACGTTATACTTCTTTAGAACTTTCATCATCCACAAATACACTTCACCAGAACCTTCTAATAGCGATGAGACCGAAAGCAATCCTACACTTGCCACTGTGGCCCTTCTTTACATTCAAAACATCACTGACCATATATCAAAAGTTCTAAAGAAGTATAACCTCAAAACGAGATTTACCACTTGTCCAACAATGTTTCAACATCTTCGTTCCGTCAAAGAGAAAAAATATCCACTAGGCTTAAAGTACACGAAAGAGCCTTACGACTAAGACAAAAAACTCATCAGCTGAAATTCTTATATGTAATCAATTCTTCTACCAACGAAAAATCCGAGAGCCTATAGAAATCTGTAAACAACCTAACAATCTTAACCACGACTCAGGTCTTTATCTTTCACCAATATGGGAATCAGTCATCCGGGACGGTGTTTATGCTCCCAATATAGCTCCCCCCCACCCTTAAACAATAAAAAAGGAGGTGCAGAGTAAAATGTGAGCCAGTTTCAAATTAAGTTCTGAAGAAGCCAATAGAATGATTGGCGAAACGTCAGCAATTTCGACTCAGCAAAAACGACGCAGGAGGAATCGAGAAGTATTGTAAAAAGGATCTTCAATTACGATAAACGAGAGCAGGATCGGCTTCAAGTTTAAGTTTCGGACGGATCAGATTATATTGGGTGTTTTCTAATTAACTGTCAATAATTAAGTAGGCGATTTTTGGGTCCATTTTAAGAAGAAAACTTCATATGAACATATGTTCTAACTGTCTTAACTTTTGAGATTCAGTGAGGCAAATTTTTCAAAAATAAAATTTTATATATTTTAATGAAATTTGACACAGGTGTACTATGAATGTAAGGCATTATTTAGTTTACCCCTTTTTTTTAGATAACACCAGTGGCGGACGTACGGAATTTCACCTGTCTATTTTGGCAGACATTGATGGTACACCATAGATTTATTTTAAAATAAAAATTATTCTTACAATCTTTAACCATTTCTAAGGAAATTCATTTTCTTGATTTCTTCAATCCGATGTACGGTTTTCACTTAAAAAATAAAAACCTCTTCTCTCCGGCATTATAATAATAACGTTAATATGACTGCATGCAGAGAAATTAGTTTTAAGTTTTAACCGAAAACCCTGCGATGGACTAAAAAAAATCTGCTCATAAATGAATGCAAATGTCATAATCTTTTTAAGGAAATCAGTGGCGCGCCACTGATTGTCTATGAACAAATAATCTTTTGGTTAATTAGGTCGCCACTGCACCGAGAACTTGTTTTGTGAAAAATAAGATATCTATCGAAAACCAAATATCTAGTTTTTGTTACCAACTGGTGTCCTTCAGGAAAAAAAATGAAGAGACTGTTCTTTTTACATTTACAGTTTTAATGAAATAATATAACATCCTATCAACAAATCAACAAAATAAATAATAAACTTTTTTTTTAATGAAACGCTACCTACTATTAATAATTGTTAATAAAATTGTATGTTAATAAATTGATACCAACCTTTTTGAACAAAAATGTAACCTAGAAACTAGATAAGTTGTTGAAAGTGTCCTCCACCTTGAAAGATGTGTAAGCGTGTGATTCACTTCTTTTCCTCATATAGCCGTGCACTCTTTGCAGTATACCTCCAGAGTTTCTTATTAAATCGCAGGAAGCTTTTATACTATCCTTCAGTACTTCTGCAAAGTTAACTGGGGTGTAATAAACCCGACTTTTTAGATGCCCTCATAAGAAAAAGTGGTGGGGAAGGCATGGTTGAGGTCCACCTCGACACATCGGTTATTAAATATGTGATTAAATATTCTCTTACTGCACCACTAAAGCAGGCGCGCTATCAGGTATGTGAACCACATTCCTTTTCTAATTAAATATGGTACTTCTTCTAGCAATATTGGCAAATCGCCTTTTTAAAAAGGGCAATAATTATATCCATATAGCCTTTTCGGCAGGCAAAAGGGTCCAATTAAGTAATTTCCAACAATTCCAGCCCAAACATTTTCCGAAAACTGTTCTTGATGATTCTACAACTGCAAGAGGGTTTTCATCGGCAAAACTGTGGTTATTGAGGAAATCTCTGATTGCATTTATGGAAAAGTTAGCTTCATCTGTAAATAGCATTTCTGGGTCAAATAAGGGATAATTTTGTCCAAAAACTATTGACAAAAATTAACAGGCAAGGGAAAATCTCTGGGAAGTAACACTTGAAAATGATGACTTACAATAGAAAATCGTGCAAAATTTGCGAGATATTCAGATTATTTTTCTAGTGGTAAATTCAGGATTTTCATCAATAGAATTTAAAACTGCTTGTTCAATTTCGTCTTACAGTCCGATGGGCTCCTTTTAAACGATTATTTGCCCTTAAAGTACCTGGTTCGGTCAACCTTCTACATACGTACATTTACTATTAGCTCATCAGCTAAACCATATATAAAATGCATATCTGCCAACTCCTCATAAGTAAATTCGACCATTCTTTTTTAACCAGCTGTTAAACATATGTCTTGACAACAAAATTAATAATTCTTACTGACAGTCTACTACAATGATAAGAAACAATTATAGAGATTTGGAAAATACACCTCAGAGTTTACGTACTTCGTATTCGTAATTCGATTTTTTTAAGTATTTTAAGAAAACATAGTAAGTACGAAATAATAATGATAACAATTATTTGCATGCTGTCATATTAACGATTTTGTTTAAATCCAAAACTGTACACCGGATTGAAAAAAATGAAGAAATTATATTTATTAATTAAATTAACCATTAATTATTAAAATTAATTTGGTATTGTAAGATAAATCAAAACTTTACCACCCTGTATCATAAAAGTTAAGACGTTTAGGACATACGTTCATATGAAGTTTTCTTTTTAAACTGGACCAAAAAATCGCCCTCTTAATTAACTTTCAATTAGAAAACACCCTGTATAAATACTTTTTTCCAGGACGGAAACACTTCCGCGCCGGTGCAAGTATGCTTCGTAGACTGGCAAGCGAGCAGATTAGGCACTCCGGTGGCGGACCTGACGTATTTCCTGTGCTTGTCCGGGTCCCGTGATATTTTCACCGATACGCCGAAATATATGCAAATCTATTACGACGTCCTGAGCGGCAGTTTGACGGAGCTCGGCTGTAATCCCGACCGAGTCTTCAGCTTTAAAACTTTCACGGACCACTGGCATAGATACGCCCGATTCGGATACTTTACTGCGGTGACGAGTTTGAAGGCGACCATGTGCGACAGCAGGGACGCTCCGGAGACGGGGAGCATAAAGGAGGGGGCGACCTGGGGGGACCAGATTCGGTTCGCGACCTACGAGAAAGAAGCCGAGTACGAAAGGCGGATGAGCGACGTTGTCGATTTTATGATCGAAAGCGGATTCATTTAACACTGAAATTGAAAATTGAACACAACCCGCGGGGTTGATTTTGAACGTTGAAGCAAAATTCGATTTATAATTTGACGTTTGTAAGAAGAATGGGAAACAAATAACAGTTAATTGGTTGTATTCTTTTCTCTCTCTTCAGTCCTGACCCTCATTAAGGAGTGTAGTGGTCAGCGTAACATCACGGATGATTGTTCTCCATGCGCTTCTGTCTTTGGTCATCTCAACGACATCGTACATTGGCTTGCTACAATTAGTCATGATCTGGTCTATCCATCGAGTAGAAGAGCGGTCATTTGATCTACGTCACGACACTTTGCCTTGAATTATGAGTCTTTCCAGATTATCCGGGCTTTTCCACATTGTATGCCCAAAATGTTGTAGTTGTTTTAATCGGATGTTTCTAGAAAGTCTGTTGGTATTATTAAGTTCATTTAAAGGGTGACTGAATAAGAGTTTCCACATTAAAATAATAAAAAAAACTCGGAAGAATATAAAAATATAAAGACATTTTTATTTGCCATTTTAGATTAGTGTATTACAATTAGGTATGAAATATGATGTCATTCAAATGACCCCCGCGACTCATTTTGCTTGATGTAATTCGTTTATTGAAATTTCACATCACTTTTTGGCTCTAGGCCGGCTATTTCGCGTCTAATCTCCTGTTTCAGCTCTGGAATAGTGTTTGGTTTGTTGGTTTGTCTGTTGGAACCACAAATCTTCAATGTCAATATCTTCCAACTGCTCCCAGAAAAAAATCAGATATCATGTTTCGATAGCGAACACCATTAACCGTAACAGCGTTCTCCGCATTATCCTCGAAAAAAAAATGGTCAATTATCCCTCCGCACCAAACAGTCACTTTTTGAGGATGCATTGCTTTTTGAACAATCTCTCTTCGATTTTCTAATCCCCAAATACGTGTTGGTTTACAAAGCCTCATCGCTAAAGATGATTTTCGTTGAAAAATGAACCCCTTGTTCTCGTATCCATTCTGCAAACACGCGGCAATGTTGATGATCTCGAGGTTTCAACTCCTGAGTTATTTCGACTTTATATGGTTGTAGATGCAAGTCTTTTGTTAAAATTAGCTGTGTGGTTGCATACGCAAGGCCCACCTGCTGCGATCGATGACGATTCGATGTGTTTGGATCTTCGGCTACACTTTCGCGAACAATGGCAATATTTTGATCTGACCGACCTGCACGAGCACGTTGAGGGACTTTGAGGTTAGTTACAGATCCAGTTTGCTCAAATTTTCGAACCACATTCCAAATTGTCCTGTCAGAAGGTCGATTTTGGGCGCCGAAAAATTCACGCAAATCCCGAAATGCATTTTTTCTTGATCGACCATTTTCATAATGGGCTTGCACAATTTTTACACGCTGTTCAGTCGTATATTGCTCCATAACTAATTTTGTTTATGTTTTGAGGTTAAAAATCTCATATGATAATAAACAAATACAGTGGCGTTTCAAAAATATTTCAGATTGCAATGTGGAAACTCTTATTGAATCACCCGTTATAATAGAGAAGTTTGTACGGCGTTCAGTCTATGGGATAATCTTCCTCATCTCGGTAGCATCGATCTTCCTACGTTCCGTATGTCTGAGAGTCCACGATTCGCAGGCATACGTCAATATTGGGAGTATTCATTTCCGCACGATACACCGTTTTTACGACTTAATCCGGTATTTAACTTTGGTAAGTTTTTATGAAGGTCTAACAGCGCTTGGGTTTCTTTCTGTAACCACCAATAAATAAATTGTCAATGCAACAATTATTATTTACCCATGTATTGAAAAATCCATTCTTACTTAAAAATGTTTATTATAAATTTAATCACAATAACCACTATAGTCACTGGACTCGTTAATTCAGGCACTTCTGTAAGCATTTTCTTCTTCGACGATATTTCTATTCTATTACCCCAGAACTAAATTTCGGCGAGGTGTTGTTTTCTTAAACTGGGCTTCAGCTGTGCCCATATCAGTTCTATCGGATTAGAATTGCAGGGATATGGTGGAAGACGGACAACTTTGAATAACCGCTCCGTGGCCAACTTGTCCAAGTTATACTTCTTATCAAACGTTCCCTGTCTCACGAACTTCCGATAACTACTTCTTTAGTCGATGATGAATTCGATATTTTTCCGCTTGTGCAGAATGGTAGCTGGCGTTGTATATCACAACACTGTTCGGTGGAATATTGGGAAGCAATTATTCGGAAAACTATTTTTCAAAGATGTCTGCTGTCATGTTTTTGTGGAAGTCAACCTTTGCTGGTTTGACATCTTTTGCAGAAAGCAACAAAGCGTTATCTACCAAACTAGCTTCAGACCCCGCATGTAATATGATAACTTGTTTGCCCCTCGGAACTGGCATGTCCAACGAACATTTCCGGCTGTTACCATCAGTCCATCCTTCCTTGACGGTATCGCGGGTATCAAACCACATTTCATCTAAATATGCGATGGGGACGTTTCTGATTTTGTAATAAAAAACAATTCTTCGTACGAAATCACGCAAAGTCTCTTAGCAACAGAACAATATTCTTCTGACACGCATCATAATCAACCGACTCTTTGGGACTTTTTGGGACCTCACGGTCTTTCCGCGTTTTTTTTCTTTGACGCCATTGACACTTATGTCACATACTGTGGCATACGGTGTTTTAGTCATCTCGGACGTTAATTTTGTGGCTCAACTTTCCCCGGATGTCGATTTCAGAAACAGAAACACATTTAAAATTACAATTTTGGCAGCAACCGCTAAATGAGTCCGAGTCTTTGATCCCTTTTTCGTCCCTGAACATCCCAAGTGACAAAATTGAATAATGATAGTAATTGGGAAGAACTAAATTGTAATAAAATGTATACGGTACCTCAATAAAAATGGCACACTGAGTCTTGAAAACAATTGAATAACAGTAAGCTGGTGGCTTGTGGTAAACGTATTGAAAAGAATGGTTCCTTCCGCTGTGGTGGGTGTTAGACTCATTCCGAAGTCAAAACCGTAAAATGTTGTAAAAACGGTATATGGGTAGAGACAGTTGATTAGCCGGTTTTTGATGGACCCTGAAATCTGGCGATCTTTTGAGATCTTGGTCCACTTGCCATATTGCACCTATGCTTCACTTATTCTTCCGATATACGTATACGTATAACTTAACTACTTCAAAGCGGTCAATGCAACTTATATTTGGATGGTTCTTATGTGGCCTATCAACTGTAACGATTTTTGTTTTTTGTGTATTTAGTTCCAGACGGAGGCGATTGCTTTCGTTTTCTAGCCTGTTTAATAAATTTATTAATTCTTCTTAACTGCTAGCGTAGAGAGCTAGCTGGAGTACTGCATCATCTACAAGGCTTAGATTATTTATTTTTTGGCCATTTATTGAAATGCCTCTTTCCCATGTCTCTAGCGACCCTCTCATGATATATTCACCGTATTTGTTGAATTGTCAAGGAGACAATATACTACCCTGTCTGACTCTAACTGATCCTATAGCGTGTTGATACAATTGGTTGATAAGTGATATAAAGTTTTTTTATAGTCTACGAAACAAAATATAAAGAGGGATGGTGAATTCCTTTGCTTTCTCCATGATTTAGTGCATATTCAGAAAAAGCTCACGAGTGCCTCTGCCCTTGGCGAAAGCTGCTTGTTCTGCTGGAATTTCTCTTTCTAGAAAAGGTTTCAATCTTTCATTTATAATTTCTGACATTACTTTATGGGCATGTGGGATGAGAGAAGGGCTACACGTGTCCTTCAAACGGATCCCTTTCAGGTTTCTAACAGAAAATATATGTTAGAAAAACAAAACCTCTTGTTGAACGACTTGCGGATGTCCCAGCAAAATAAGCAAGCAAAATAAGTTTGAAGGGTTAAAACCCTACACGCCTATTTTTGGTCAATTGACAATCAAAATCAAGATATATTATCGACGATGGGATGAGGAATTTGGCAACTCAGGAAATAAAAATCGTAAAATCTCCCCGGGAAGTAAAAGAATAGCTGCACGTGAGTGCCAAGGAATCGCGTCAACCCAACATTTGCCGTTTGTGGAAAATTTAACCTCATTAACTTGAGGTAATACAATAACAGCGGCCGTTAAATGTAAAAGTCGGTGGTCTCATATTGCCGCCATTAAAGGGGGAATCTTTACGACTCGCAAAAAATAAAACGAAATATAACCTCACTAATACGGCGGTCGTTTTACGTCACTCAATTACGCGCGAGATGGGAAAGAACGTTGAAGCGTTCTATTAAGCTCTATTTAGGAAACGTCATAAATTTTGCTGAATAGTTGAGTCTAGACGCGGAATTTATCAGGAATTATTAAATCGAGGTCTATACGCACAAGGAAAATTGTCAGCCTACTCGGAGACTTCAGAACGATTGATTTAATTCGAGCCGTTCAAACCAATAGGGCTAATTTATTTGCAACATTCTTAGTTTTGTGTGTCTCTTATTTTGAAACTAACATCAATAACAGTGTTTTCTGTATTTTTCCATATCGTTTGCTGTTCCAAATATGTTTTCCCAAATACTCTCAAATATTTTTGCTTTTATTACCACTGCCAATTACCAACTAAAAATATATATTACTCTTGGCTAGTGTAATTGTTAACTCTCTGCCCTGGCCTATAACGAAAACAGGAGCAAAATCATTTTTTAGAAATTAGGTTTGATAATAAATAAAATTACTTGCAAAGATTTTTATCGACAATTTATTCGAGAATATTCCTCTAATTAAAACTGCATTTGGTAGTTGGACGTATTTGCTTGTTTGCACTTGCAGACACAACAGCATAAAATTCGCTGTTGAAACTGAGCAAAATAGTTAACTATAAGATAAAAAAATTGTATTTTTCCAATTACAATAGAACAAATAGCATGTAACATTCTTTTGCATTCGTTAAAAGTTATTGTAAACAAAATTATAAATAAAAAACGGAATCAAGTTACCCTGAGCTCCTCTTAATAGAGTATTGCGCCCTAAAATAATTGAAGTATGAAAGTATCGAAGCATTTGTCGAAGATTGCATATAAAACTCATAACACAATCGGAAAATATTTAAAAAAAAACACACATCGAAGGAAATTCAAACTTTAGGAGTCTATAGGTTAAAGGTAAAAATTTGTGATGAACCCACATATACATTTTAACAACGTATTAATTACCATCAGAGACTATACACTTTAGAACTATTAGACGCTAGGGAAATTAACAATTCAACAATTAATATTCAAATGTATCCCTTAATGACCAAATAGATTTTAATAATTCATCTCAATGGAACTTAAATATCTGGAGTAACGGTAA